ACAGGAGAGAAACCATATGACTGTCATCTATGTGGGAAGGCCTTCTCTCAATCATCTCACCTTAGTGCGCATGAGAGAACACACACTGGAGAGAAGCCATATGAATGTCATCTGTGTGGGAAGGCCTTCTCTCGATCATCTCACCTTAGTGTGCATGAAAGAACACACAGTGGAGAGAAGCCATATGAATATCATGTATGTGAAAAAGCTTTTTCCCATCCTAATACCCTTAAAAATCTTGAGAACGCACACAGGAGAAAAATCATATAAATGGCATCTCTGTGGGAAGGTCTTCTCTCAATTATCTCACCTTAGAAGGCGTGAGAGAACGCACACAGGCAAGAAACCATATGAATATCATTCATGTGAGAAAATTGTCACTGTATCATCTTCCACATGTATGCATAACAAAACAAAGATAAGAGAGAAAATATATGAAGGTCATTTGTGTGAAAATAGTTTTAGTCAATAAATTAATTTCGCAAGCAGAGAAAGCACAAAGCAGAGATACCACATAAATTTCATTTTTATGCAAAAGCCTACAACCAATGTTCTCATATTGGACAGCATGAGGAACTCACAGTGGAGAAGAATCATAACATTGTTCTCATTTTGTGAAATGGTTATGTCAGTATTGTGTACTTTTGTGATGAGTCTGACCACATGCAAAAAAGAACAACAAATGCTACAGCAAGTATGCTTACCTCATGTGGGATAACAAGAATGTAATGAATGTGCACTGGCAATTGCTCACCTGCTTTCTGATAAGTGGGCTTTGTCTGGAATCTTCACCAGATTCACTCTGAGTACTGGGTTCCATGGCCTTTTACTGTCCTCTTCCCCAGTGCAGGTGCTTTGGGTAGGATCTCTCTTCTACCACCTGAAAATGCCCAGTCCAGCCCACATAGGACTAGTGCCCAGACCCGGTGCCCTCAGCAAGGACATACCATGCCTTTTTTCTTCACTCTCAGGGTCCTCCCTTGCTCATTTGTTCCCAAATATTCCCAGTATGCCTAGAACTGCACACCACTCATGAGACAGTTCTAGGCTCCTTGGTTCCAGCATCCATTGAGATGACCAGAGGTGGGGCTGACCATGGTAAAGACCAGATCCCTATGGACAGAGACATTAGTTTCCAGGGAACAAGGGTGATCCCATGGCCACATCAACTGCAACAGCCATAGCTAGTGTCCCACCACTGGTCCTCTATAGCTCTCTCCAAATCCTCTGCTTCATTCCTTCCTCAGTTCACCCCACACCCTAGAATTTGTACTGGAACACCAAGGCTCTTGGACATTCACACCTGGTCCTGTCCCTGTGAGCTGTGCTTTGACCCTGTTTTTTCCTTTACACTCTTCCCCAGGCTTCTCATCAGTTTATTCCTTCAAAGGTCCCTCAATACCCCCATGGGACCTACCTCTGCAGTTTATGTGTTCCCATCGCTTCTGAACTGTTCCAAACATCCCATTCCCTACCTGCCTCATCTGGTGCCCCACTTGTACTGAGGGTCCTCCAATCCTGCACAGTTCAATCTACCCAAGTTCTAGTGCTTTAGTTTGCACTACATTCCTTCTCTAGAGAATGGGGCTCTGTGGTAGGCAGAAAGAGCACAGAGACTCAGGCCTATAAAAGAGGAAAGGGAGAGAAGGGAAGAGGCTGCATTTTCTTGAAAACAAGTGGGTAGAAGTTGCAAATGCAGGTGTTTTTTACCATGATAAGACCATCCACAGCACTTGGGTGACACAGATCCTACACCCACTCACAGACTAAAGATGAATAATATCCCATTCCCTGGGTCAAAGAGGCCACAAAAACTACAATGAAATGAATGCATAGGCCCCATGTTGGAGGTTTCCCAGCTCTAGAATCTCCTCTACTTCAGAAATGTTTGTTGTGCTTCTTTGCATTAAAACTCATTTTCACATGAAACTTCCTTACACCCTTTCCGTTGTTGTTGTGCTTGACTGAGTGTGGACCTGGGATCATCATAAGGGCGGTGGTTAAATTGAAAGCCAGACACCTCTGTTTACCTGGGTGTCCAATCCCTCAGGCTTGGTGCACTTCACCCCTCCTCAGCTCCTTCTGCACTAATCTTCCCCTTTGTGCATGTTTGGTCCTGTCCTCCAGGACCAGGTCCTTGCATTTCTGCTGCTCAGCTTACATTTATCTTGATGTCTCAATCACCGTGTTTCTTTTCTCTCCACTTTTCCATTTGTCCCTCTGCATCTCTCCTGTCTACTCTCACTGGAGACCCTCAGGTCCCTATCTTTAAATTTGGCTGTCCCATCTGAGAGTTGCACTCTCCAGCCTTGCTTCCTTCCAACTCCTCAGTTCCTTCCCAGCCTCGTCATGTCCCTCTGTTCCTCCTACCATGTCACCATTTCTTTTGCATCCTTTAATCAAGGCCTCATGTGCTTCCATTTCTCTGGGTTTTTTCTCTGCATTGTGTTTTTCCACACTCTGAACTCATGTGTCCCTGCCCCTCTTTGCAGCCTCCACAACTCTTCTTGTCCTTTCACCTTCAGGGCCCTCTGCTCAAGACTTGGTTCTCCTAACCTCATGCCTCCACAGTTCCCAACCCCAAAACTCATGTTCCTGCTGTCCCTCCTCCTGGCTCTTGGTGGACTTCAGTCTCATTCAGCACTCATAGGCAGGCTGTGCAAGGGCCATTTCTCCAACAGTTTGCCCACTGCTTTGACTGGGAGTCTCACACAGAAAACTGTTGTGGAGGGTGTTCATTTCCCAGGCTTCTGAATTTATACGAATGCAAAGGCAGGGATTCTGGGGGTGTTTGTGTCTGCCATTGGAAAATCGAGTTCATCCCCAGGGTCCAATCTCTACTTTGCCTGTTTAGGGGTGTATTGTCTTCACATACACATAGATGGTGCTGCCTCATCCATGGATGAAACTTGGATTATTGGCACATATCCTGCACTTCACAGGTTCTTCTTACATTTTTTGAGTCACGTTAGCTTGCATTCTGTGTTCATATGCTCATTTGGCCTTCATGGAGACATGTCTTCCAGTGTTTAATTATATGTCCTCTGCTGCATGACCAGTAAGCATGCTGAATTTGTGTGGTCTGTGTTCACATTGCCTACATCAGTGTTAGGAGACTATGGTCTTTGGGCATTTGGGATCCATATGCTTCACATCCTTATTAAAATATAAATGCAGGTATTTGCAACGGATTTTCAGATTTTCAAATATATTTTCAAATATAAACTCTAGGACTTCAACACGTAGTAGACACTGTGTTTTTCCAGAAACAATATTTAATTAACTAGTTGTGAGCACTGGTTTTCCCCTAGGGTCACCTGTGTTATATTAACAGTTGTCATGCTTGAAAGACAGATTACTGACACAGAGCCCGCATTTATGCTTCACCTGAATATTATGCTGAGCAAATTGGCACTGCTCTGAGACATGCACAGTGATGGTCATCAGAACTGCATTGTGTTCCTGTTAGACACACCTCAGAACATTGTTTGTTCTTTGGTGTTGATTCTGAAGGTAGCATATACAGGAAAACTGACAGAATTTTTCTCAACAATAATATCTGCTTTCAAGAAGGGGAATTGATGATATTTTGCATTCAGAATATATTCCAATACTAGGAAAAGCTATGTAAAGTTAAAAATACCCACCAATTTAGACCCTGCTCATTCCTGGGAGCTACCCAAAGTGTACTGGAGAAAACTCTGGTGCTTGCTGTATTTGTTTTTAGATTAGTGTTATGAGTGTAGGTCTGTGGGAATTTAGGATCCTGTTGGCACCAGGACAACTTACAGTTATTTAGGAGTATTAATTGGCAAGGTATACTGTTTACAGGAACTCTCTGCCAACAAGAGTGAGTGCTAGATTCTCTCATCAGCCTAGGTATCATTTTTGTGGAACTGCTGAGGCACAGACATACTTCCTGTGACTATCCATCCACCTGAGCATTTTCTCTGACCACACAAGGATGTAGAACGCTTTCCAGAGGCTTAGGCCACCCAAACATTGTGTCTACCATTTCACCAAGACATCTGAGCTGTCTCTGTATTTAAACATCTTGGAAATGGAAGGAACACCACACAGCTCCTGTTGTGAGGGCTCTATCTACTTGGTATCAAATCCTAGCACTGTAAATTAATACAAATGTGTTTTATACATTGACCTTGTGTTGCACAACTTTCATAAACTAAGTAATTAATTAGTTCTAGTAGTTTTTTAAAATGTACCTTGTTTTGTATATAGATGATTATGTCTGTGAATAAACAGTTTTATTTCAAAACAATAAAAAAAATTTTAAAGTGTTGAAAATTTCTAATATACTCCTTAATTGGGAGAATAATAGAAGACATTACAGGAGCCTGTGAACCCTGTGCATGCATCAGTCTCTAGTGAAAAACTTATTACCACCTTTGGTTGCAGAGATGTTCTTCTGGCATCAAGGATCTTCCTTTCATCTTCGATATGTAATAGGACAGATGGAAATGACCCCTTTTAAGTATAATAGTAAACATAAACACAAACATCGCTGAGCACAGATTCCCCAAGTGATGACCAGGATGTATACATGAATGTCTGTGTAGTTAGGCTCAGATGCCACTGAAATTTGTCCCATGAAGCAGCACGAGGGATGAATAATAGAATCTATAGATGGGTGTGGGTGATACCATGGAGGCTCAGGTTGGAAACCTGAGGTTAAAGAGGGGCTGCGTGTTGCTGCCTAGAATGTGCACACATACTATACAGAATAACAAAAGGTGTATAAAATTCACAATACAAAAGATTATACATATATTTAAAGTAAAATTCTGTGAATGTCAGTACTAGAACACTTTTAAATTTAATGCTTCTCAACTGAGTGTCAAAATTTAAATTATGTATTATACTTGCACACTAAATCAAAAACCATCTGATGGGCCTGAGTTATAGCTCAGCTGCACATCACATGCTTGGCAAGTGTGAGGTCCTGAGTTCTACTCTTGGTAACAAAATAACAAATCAAAACCAAAACCATCTGATGAATACTGGACAAAATAGGAGGTGAGGAAACCGAAGGGTCATAGCAAAGATTTGAAGTAGTTTTCTCAATCATGTCAAGAAGAACTGACATTCAGGACCTCAAAGATTTCTGGTATTTTTCAGAAATGATCAAAGTGACTTCAGGTAAAGTGGAATACTTCTGTGTTCCCTGGCAGAGTTTTTCCCTCCTGAGAACCAGAAATGTTAACCCAAGCAGGATCTCTGCAGAGCAGTCCAATCAATCCTGTGCACGAGTGGGGAATGAGACATCAATGAAAGAATTTACTACATGGGACTCTGTGGGAATAGTGCTTACATTTTCTTTACCAGAGATAAAATATTGTTTCATATTTTATTTTGATTATTAATAAATTCTTAATGTTGGCTGAAAAGAACAATGTAAACAGTGGCCTAGCACTCCTTCCCGTGTTACATGAGCAATTCCTTTTGTAATCCCATTAATTCCTTGTGAGTTTTTTTACTTATAAATTTTTTCCATTTTATTTTCCTCGCTGATTTTCTCTTGTGAAATTTTTGCCTTGTGTCCATAGAATCCTGTGTCTGGATTCTCACTGTTTACAAAGGCCTAGAATGCTTCCTAATCCATAGAATGCATTCAGGATATTTTGTGAGTGATTATTTCCCTAAATAAATCTTCTTTATTTCTTTTCACCAAAGGACCTGCCTCTTTGTTCTGAAACTTATTGAGAAGACTGTAGCATTCCAGTTGTAGGGAAAATCCAAGGAAAGCAAACATGCTATGTCCCCAGCAGGAGCCTGAGAAGCTGTGATGAGTCTGCTAGGAGGCTACATCACCTGAGTGAGTTTTCTAACTGCCTTTCTGTGATATACAGAGAAGTTAGCAAAGAATGCATGTCCCAGAGAGGTAGAACTACAGGGTTCAGCACTCTGAAGAAAGAGCCACTGGCTGTTCACTCCAGATCTGGGCACAAAACAGAGGCTCAGAAACAGCAATGACCATTCAGTGACTGAGCAGTACCAGGAGGAGGAAGCTGAATGCTCCCCAAGTCCCTGCCTGAGGAACTGCCTCCACTTCCTGCCTCTTCTCTGGGTGTGATGCATAGTTTTATACTTTATGACCATTGTACTTCCTTCTTACCTGTTCTTAGTCCTTTTTCTTCTAACAAAAATTATTTTACTTAATCTTTTTCTTATTTTTCGCTCCATGCCTGTGCTGATTTTTGAAATTATTATTAATGATTATTTCATCCATTTCCATTTTAACTTTCCTTTCACCTTTCGTTTGTTAGTGTGGTATGAGACAGGTGTATAAGTGTAGGTCATGCTTGGAATTGAACAGTGAAGGGCTCAGCCACTGAGATATTTCCCAGGTCTTTTCAGTATTCTGGTATGGGACAGGGTCTTTCTGGACAGCTCAAGCTGGCCTCAGACATATGGCTTATGAGTGACAGAAA